TCTTTTTAAAGAGCAGGATAACATCCTTTTGGGAACAGCCAATTTGTAGCAAATTTGGTTCAACCAGCAAATAAAATGGTTGTAAAGAACAGAGATGATGATGATGATGATGATGATGAAGAAGAAGAAGAAGAAGAAGAAGAAGAAGAAGAAGAAGAAGAAGAAGAAGAAGAATGTGCAGGGGGAGGGGAAACTGAAGAGCAACTACATTTTCCAATATTATGTCAGTGGAAGAATCTGTTACAAGGCATTTGAGAAGAGTTTGCAATTATCAGGCATACACATGACCATCGTGCTGTTTCCTTTTGGAGTAAGCAACATTATGCAAAACATAGAAAAGGAGTAAGGAATAGTAAGCCAAAGTAATTAAAAGCATAGAATAAGAAAAAAAAGAAAAGGAATCATAGTTTAACCTAGTTTAAACCAATACCATTTGCTATACTACGCCATACGCTTCTACCTTGCAAACCATCTTTGTTTCCACTATGTTCATGCCAATTCATGCTTTTTATTTTTTCAAACTTCTTACCTCATTTTCTGAAGATCTCATCAGCTTCACCCATCCATGAATTTCTTGGTCTTCCCTTTCCTCTCAACCCATGCAATCTTCTTCTTTCATATACTGTATTTGTTTTGCAATCCAATCATTCATTTTATCAATATGGCCAAACCACCTCAATGCATTTTGTACTAGCCACTCACTTTCCTATTCAATCCACATCCATTGATAATTCATTCATTTTTTCTCTTCTTCTTTTACCACAATGTCAAGTAGTAACCCATTCTCACTGCATTCAACATTATTTTATGTTTCTCTTGACATTTCCAGCTCTCACTTCCATATAACCAAGAGGGCAGAAGTGCACTCTTATTTTCACTGCTTTTGACAAGCATTTATTCTTCACAACAGAACACTAACCATGAATTTGCATGTCTTAAAATGTCTTCATTCATTTCCCCATCTTTAGTAAACAAGACACATAGATTAATCTGCTTGCTTTAGTTTTTTGCCATTTATGTGTAACTTTCAACCCCATTTTCTTTGTCAAACACAAGTACTTTCGTCTTTGATACACTAATTTTAAACCCATGTTCCTTACTGTAACGTACAATCTAGCATTTGCTCAAATCCCTTGAGTTCTCATACATATGAAAGTAAAACAGAAAATGTAGGTTTGTTGATTTAGAGAAAGTGTATAATAAAGTAAGTTGGCCTGAATTAGACATAAAAGTATATGCGTTTTTCTATACAGATGATGCTGTTCTACTGACTGAGAACTTAAATGATTTGCATTGAATGTTAGACTGTATGATGTAACTAACTGAATAATTTAACAAGTTACCAAAATGTTGCACAATATCAATACATTTTGGTAGAGAAAATACATAACTGACAAGAAGACTGTCAGCATACACTGTGTTCAACTCCAGCCCATTTGTGTAATAAAGAAGGCCAGAAATTTCAACATCAAATAAAAAATAAAAGGAGATAAAGGACTTCACTGATGATATGAAGAAATAATTCCATTTATAGTAACTCCAGCTAAGGAAGTAGAGTACTACACTGCGATCCAATTAATTGAAAAGGAAAAAATCCATATCTAGGTTTGTTTCAGACATTTCCACTGCATCATATTAAAAGCTCCTTCCTTCCTTCCTTCCTTCCTTCCTTCCTTCCTTCCTTCCTTCCTTCCTTCC